TGGATGAGATAGCCTAGAGAGATTAAAAAGGGAAGAGGGCCTGGGATCATATTAATATTTTGTCTCAATGTAGAGGCTATGAGATACTGAAAGGAGAATGGGCTAATAATAAGGGTAAGGATGTAGTTCAGTGGCAGAATACCTGCTGTATATGCAGAAAGTCCCAGATTTTATCGTTGTCATCTCCACTTTAATCTTTGCCTCCTCAGAGGATGGGATAGGGTTATACATACTTCAAGTTTTTTGTCAATTCCACGTGTGTGTGTGTGTGTGTGTGTGTGTGTGTGTGTGTGTGTGTGTATGTGTGTGTGTATAGTTTTCTAGTTCCTGGTACAAAGCAGGTGCTCAATAAATGTTTTTAGATAACTGAACTAATGAAATGAAGGAGAACATCTGGGTTGTAGTACCTGCTTTGCTACAATGTAGCTTTGTGATATTGAGCGGTTAACATGCTACAATTTTGCCATCTGTAAAATGGCAATAACAAAAGTTCTTTTGGACAGGATTTACAGCAATACAAAAATTTATAACAAGTGCTGAATTAATGTTAACTACTATCAGCTCTCAGTACTTTGGGTGCTCATTCATAAAATAAAGGCTGTGGCTTTTGCCTGCTTCTCTCATAAAGCCATTTATGAAGCTTTGCAGGAGTTAATAACGTTCATGTTTTAATAGGTCTGGACTTAGGTTAAATGGCTGCTCTGCTCTCCCCATCCTCCAACCGAATCATTTAAATGAAAATGCGTCTTTAAAGAGACCTAGTACTTACTCCCAGTGTGTCAGCCCAGTCTGGTCCAGCCAATTGTATTGAAAGCCACGCCCCAATACAACGTCCATTAGTTGTAGAGTTCGATTTAAAAATACCCAGCTCCGCCCCTCCTTGCTGGGCGTGCGCACGTCGCAGCTGTGCACGTTGATTGGCCTTCTGCTGGCCAGTCACCACTGCGCTTCCTCGGGGATGTAATTTTCAAAATCCCAACTGGGCCGGTTGCAGGGCGCACCGGACAGTTTGAGACGAACTCCGGTCGCTACAAAAAGGTGCTCCGTTTATTACCCTGGTCTCTTCTGGTCTAGGGGTGCGTCTATGGTTTTTCCTGTCTGTCCTCAATCTCGGTGTGAGGTAGGCGCTTTTGGGCATGTATTGCGAATTTGAGTGTCCGGTTCTGTTGCCTGCCGGTCGGTCCTTGGGCGTCACACCAGCCTCTTGCTGGCTTCTCTTGCCGGGGTGCGCGGCGTCCCTGCGATGAAACTTTGTCTTGTTCTCCTGTCAGTCAGCAGTCTGCGGAGTGAGCCTGTACGAGGTTGGGCAGGGAATGTGTATTAGGGGGTGAGATGGCAAAGCAAGGAGACTTGGTCCTAGCTTTTACATGGAGCGACTAGTACTCGTGCCAGAATCAGAGCGCTTTTTACAAAACATCTTTTCACAAGTGAAAGTGTGCAGGATTAATTTCATGCACAAGTGCTAAGGCACCAGACACATTTAAGTCATAGAATGCTACTTGCAGGATGTCTTTTGATCTACAGGTTAAAGGATATGAAAGAAGGGACACGTGTTCTCGCTCCATTGTTATTATCCCTTTATCTTCACTGACTCTTCTGTCCCCTCCTCCTCCAACCCCCTTCAGCTCGGGCTCTCTCACCACCCTCTGCTATGGTCCACTTAGAATCCTAGAAGGTCAGAGGTTAAAGGGACCCTAGAATAGTGGTTCTTAAACTTTGAAGTGCATACATATCACCTGAGGATATTGTTAATTTGCAGATTTTGATTTGATAGCCCTAGTTTGGGCCTGAGATTTTTTTTAATTGCTAACAAGCTTACAGGTGATGCTGGTGTTGCTTGTTCGCTGACCACACTGAATAGCAAGGAAGTTCTGGCCCATTGCTTCATTTTATTAGGTGGGGAAACTTAGGCCCAGAGGGGGAAAGGAACTTTGCCCAGTATCACCCAGTTAGCTAGTGTCAGGACCAGAACTAGGTCCTAGACATCCTTCCCAGCCCAGTGCTGCTTTATTGACACCATGCTGCATTCTCTCCCCAGTGCCTTGCTGTCTATAACCTGTCTTTATATATATATATATAAAATGAAGTTTCTATTCTTTCCTGTGTAGACTGTTTTGATAAGCTTAGCTCTGCTGCTCCTGTGTGGGTTTCATTGTCAGCCCTGGGTTGCCCAATGGAGTCTGCAACACTTATCAGTGTGTGTTTAGGGGAGACGGAAAGTCTGAAAAGGAGAAAGTCTACTTTTCTTGTCCAAGTAAGGCTCAGGTTCTATAGGTCGTAGAAGTTAAGTGTTACAAAAGATGGTTTTGGTGGTGCCAGTCCCCTCTCTTCCTCCCCTCCCTACCCCCAGCAGCAGGGAAATTGGTTTACCTAAGACAGAGTGTGTCCCCCAAAGCAAGTGGTTAATGTTCAAGATAATAAATGGGGTGTATGATCATCCTATGAATAACCTTATTTTCTCTGAGATTTAGTTAACCTGTAATGTCACCAAACCGAGAGTTTTCTAGCCTGTGGACTCCAGATTTATTCTTTTCCTTTGAAAGGTAAAGGTTTCAGAGCATGAGTCTTTGGTCATCCATAAAAAATTGAATGAGGCATGAATAATAATAGTGGAGAAAGTAGCTTTCATATAGTGCAGTTAAGGGTGGGTGCACTCAATTTAGCTTTATTGCTGCTTGGCTGAGTTTTGAGGGACGAAATGGAAAATAGTTTTGAATTTGAGGGAAGAGAAGGAGAGTAAGATACACCATTGATTGAATCCCTACCATGTGTCAGATTTCATACATATAAATTTACATTTGAACCACACAAGTCCTCTGTCAGTAAGTGGTGTTACAGTTGTCTTGCAAATGAGTAAACTGAGGCTCACAGATGCTAACTCCAAAGCCTGTGCTCACTATGACCTTTCACTGTTTTGGAATGTTTTTGAGTGTGATTGGAGAGACTTCATGGTATTTTAGAAGGAGCCCTAGAGAGAGCTGGGTGATCTATGCCATTTAATAGGTTGTCTTAAGTAGTAAGTTACTTAACTCATCTGGGACTATAAAATGGAGAGGATTGTATGTGCCCTGCTTAGCTTCACAGTTTTGTTATGAGGATCACCTGAGGTAATAAACGTGAAGGCACATATTTGCACTGGCTTTTCCTTACCTACAAAATGTTTAATACTTTTCCATCCAAGTCAGTCTTTCTCTTTTCTTAAACTTTCCCCTGAAGCTGCAGTCTTTTCTGCTTCCCTTTCTTACCAGCCCAGCCCAGACTAGCTTCTTAGCCCCATTCTAACCCTTCCCCAACATATTCTTTATGCTCCACATTCCAGGTAACTGGGACATTTCTGAACTCTGCATGTTCATACCTCTGCCAGAGCTCAGGCCTTCTTTGTCTGGAAAGCTCCCCAGTCAACTCGGGAGCCCATTTGTCATTTAAGTCCTGATCAAATGTTGTCTCCTCTGTGAAGCTTTTCTCCAACCCCTGTCCCTTACAAAAATTACTGACCTTATTTATGTTTTTATAGTACTGTTTTAATTTGGGCTGCTATAATAAAGTGTCACAGACTGGGTGGCTTAAGCAAACATTTAGTTCTCACAGTTCTGAAGGCTGGGAAGTCCGAGATCAAGGTATCAGCAGATTTGGTGTCTGGTGAGGGCCTGCTCCCTGGTTCACAGTTATAGACAACCGTCTTCTTGTTGTATCCCCACATGGCAGAAGGTATCAAGGGAGGGCTCTGGGGAGGGCACTAATCCCATTTGTGGGGGCTCAGCCATCAGACCTAATTCTCTCCTAAAGGCCTCATTTCCTAATACCATCACATTGAGGGTTAAAGTGTCAACATTAATTTTGGGTGGACACAAACATTCAGTCCATAATAAGTACTTTATATCTACCTTTATTAAATCATTTGTCACATTTTTTGTTAATGTTATAGCTGTGTATGTGACTACTTCTAGGATATCTATGATTTGTGCTTGTGTTCCCCTTGCCTGAAGTATCTGGTACATAGTGGTAAGGTTGTTGCATTGCCTTTAGGTCTCTCTTAGGGAAGCCTGTTCTTTGTCAAATGCAGTTGAACTTGAAAATTGAATGTGAGTGGGATTAGGAAAGAGCAGCTGTATCTGAGTGGAAAGGGTCTCTTGTGTATCCAAATGATGATTCCTCCTAATGCATTTTTTTGTAGGACAGCATACATGCATCCTAATTATTGAGGACTCACAAACTAAAAGAACCTTGAGGAATATAAAATGGGGTGCCACACTGAGATGGGGCAAAGGTATTACTCTCCCAAGGACTATAATGATTGTTGAATTCTTATGTCAAGTGATTTTCCTTAAGTTTAGTTCCTTCTGCTGTTATCTCATCTTTTGAATTTTCTTTTCTTACCAGGTGTCTGGAACGGGATTATAGTTTCTTCTGATTGAACACAGCCTTTGAACACCATCTGGCCAATCCAGCCTACGTGTGTGTGTGTGCATGTGTGTGTGCAGTCATTCTCTTGTCTTCTTTTTAGTGTTGTTATAATTGTTATCACCAGGACCCCATGCCTTTAACGAACATTAACTCTATCAGTTATCCTCCATACCATGTCATGTTCTTCATTGTTTTTCATACAAAACTCTCATGTAATTTGTCCCTAGTGTTGCTAAGCCTAAAGTAGGGGCTAGGCCACATCTCAGTGTCTACTGTGTTGGACTTTTAACATAGAGTATCACATTTAATTTGAACAACACCCTGCAGAGGTAGGTATACTTATATCTATATTACATATGAGATAACTGAAGCCCAGGGAATTTAAGTCACTTGCCCGAGGTTACTTGTGATAAAATCAAGATTTGAACCCAGATGTACCTGACTTCAAAGTCTGTTTTCTCCTAGGAATCCTATAGAGAGACTAGGTTTTAACATTTTCCAGAGAATTTCATGGCATTTCTGGTGAATGGTGTTTTAAAGAGTTTCTTTCCAATTGCAGCCCTGCCTTGGACAAGACACTGCTGAATCTGTAAGAGATGCCACTGCCACTACCACCCCAAAGCTCCAAACCTGAGCCTAGGAAATCTCAGTCCAGCAAAATTGTGTCCAGTGATTATGATTATGATCAAACTGAAAAGGTTAGAGCAAGCCGTTTTTTCCTACAGTGTCCCAGGTATTCTGTTTCTGTGTTGGCACAGTACCTATCCTTATCCCTGAATCTTTTGGAATATATCTGGTGTAATCTGAGAAAGTGGGGAGGGGTGGCAGCCCTTGATATTGGAGAATACCAGCCGATTAGAACTTGGGGAGAAAATATGAACTCTTCTTTTCCATCAGTGCAGGGCTCAGATGAAGGCCACCCTTCACAATCTTCAAAACCATGGTCATTTATGACTATATCTGTATTCTTACTTTCTCTGGGAAGCTCCAAGCACCTTGTTGTAAGGTGTTTGGTGCATCTTAGTGAGAGTATGAAGATTACATTGGCAAATATATCACCATGCTCTTTGCAGCTATTAAATTTGAAGAATGGGCATATTTTGACTCTGCTGTTTTGACTTTATGGGTAGTTTGACATTGCTATTTTAACCTTGGAGTGTACTGTGTTCGTCATCATACATATTTTAATCAGAATTATACTAACATTGATGAATTGTCATCAAGAGAGTATTTCCTGGAGCAAATATCATTTCCTTGAATTTATTTTCCTTGATTGGTTTTCTACAGATAAACATTTTCTACTCATTTCTTTTTTTTTTTTCTTTTTTTTTCTTTTTTTTTGAGTTGGAATCTCACTCTGTCACCCAGACTGGAGTGCAGTGGCCGCTCCCGGCCACCACAGCCTCGACCTGCTGGGCTCCGGCGATCCTTCCACCTCAGCCTTCCAAGTAGCTGGAACTACAGGTGCGCGCTACCACGCCCGGCTAATTTTTGATTTATTGTAGAGATGAGGTCTCACCAAGTTGCCCAGGTGGGTCTTGAACCCGCGGG